CTAAATATTTGTGTTCCCAGCATTTTATTAAGTCTGTGGTTTAAATCAAAGTAGCTGCAGTCTCCACAGTGAGAGGCGATATTCAACTTTGGGCAAAGCACACCAACCCTGATACATCTACAATGATATTTTCAAATGTTCTATATAGGATAAGCTTGATATTCCAGATAACATGGTATTCTAGATATAAAGGAAGTGGGGGGACTGGTATTTGTCTTGAATCTGTGTGTGCTATGCAGATTTTGCTTGAATTGTGTGGCTCATGTGGTATGGCTTAGGATGCCATTAACTTATCTCTGCCAGGTAAAGAAACTACAACCCTGAATTACTATGTCATCCATGATTTAATTAACCATGACCTGTATCTTTTATTTATTCTTTCTAATCTTGTGTTTAAAATAAAATCATGGAATCACTCAAAGTGAAAGCCAATATGATAATTGATTATTTAATTTTCTCTTCTTATAAATAAATTTTATGAAAAATTAATAGCAATAAGCTATTTATTAAATGCAGGTACTGTTGCAAATAACTTATGCTTGATATTTTTTAAAACTTTCACAATAGCACTATAGGTAAATGCAATCATTATTTTTTTAAATGGTGACACTGAGACAAAGAGAGGTTTGAAATGGATACATCATCACATAGATAATGGACAAGTTGGGATTTCCACTTAGATAGCCTGACACCAGAATCCCCAGGCTAAAGTCAGCAAAATCATAAGTAAATGAATGGAGCAACAAATTGATGGATTTCTCAAAAATGGTGTGGGGAAGGAAGGAAACAGAGTTCTTTTATTTTACTTTATTTTTGCTCTAGAATCTTCTGAATTGACAAAAAGGAATTTAGGGGCTTGGAGTATTTTGGAGCCATGAATCTTCTTTCTTTTTTCTTTCTTTCTTTCTTTCTTTTTTTTTTAACTGACGTATAAATATTATACATAATTAGGGTACTAAATGATGATTCAGTATGTGTATAGATTGCATAATGTTCAAATCAGGGTAAGCATACCCACAGCTAAGATCCTTCCAAATAGGTAAAAGCTGAAAGCTTTCTATTTAAGATCTATAACAGGACAAGTATGCA